ATCTCTCCCCTCTGTACCACAGACATCCACTCTGATGTTCGCTACGTGCCCTGTGTTTAGACACACTCGGTGCGGTTGAGTGTGTGTGTTTAATTGAATCGCCAGTCATTTCTACCTCTCCCAACTCCAGGTCACTAAGATCTGGACACGTTGCTGCCTGTACAACGAACTCACTACTGATTCGATTCCCACTGTGCACCCACCGAGTTTTACTTACTCAGTGATAGCTCATGGGCATGCGATTACCCCACTTCTGCTACTATAAACAACACTGCGGTGAACATCTTTGTACACGCCCCTTGGGGAAACCCTTCTTGAAAACGTATCTATCCTCAAAATATCAGACAGCACATGCCATCTTAATGTCACTACATACTTGCAGATTGCTTGCCAACACGACTGAACTGGCTGACACTCCCACCAGCAGCGAACAAGGATTCCCACCTCTCCACACCCTCACCAACCCCTGATACCTTCCACCTTTGTAACGTCTACCATTTTGACTGGCATAAAGGTATGTCTCATTATTTTTCTACAATTAAGTAGAAATTAAGGTTATCTCAAAAACATGCTCAATCTTTAGGCTTCTTCTTCCACAAATTGTGTCTTTTTTTTGAAACAGAGTCTCACTCTGTTGCCCTGGCTATAGTGCAATAGCGTCATCATAGCCCACTGCAACCTCTAACTACTGGGCTCAAGCGATCCTCCTGCCTCAGCCTCCCAAATAACTGGGACTATAGGCATACACCACCATGCCTGGCCCCTATTGGCTGAGTATTTCTGTATATCTGAGAGAGGTATGGCTTTTTTATTTTCCATCTGGCAATTATCTCCACCAGTTTGCCACTCGCTTGTTAATATGATCAATGGTGTCTTTTGTTTAACAGAGATTCTTAATTTTGATACAGTCAAATGCATCTTTTCTCCTCCTTTGCTTTGATATCCACCTCAAGAAGTTTTCCTGCAACTGCGGGACACAAAGATATTTGCCTACATTTTCTTCACTTAGCCTAATAATTTTGTCTTTCATCTTTAGCTCTGAAATACATCCAAAGTCGACCTTTGCATGTGGTGTGAAGGAGGGCTTTGACTTGTTTTTCTGCAGGTAGTGAACCAGTTTTCCCGGCATTGTGTTCTATGTACTCTAGTCATATCTGACATTTTTCTATTTAATCTGGTTGCCTCCTTCTACACCAACAGCATACTATTTTTTTAGATTAATGTTTTATTGCAGTATGGTTGACTATCTGCTAGGGTGAGTCTTTCTATATTGATTTTTTTTCTTCCCAAAGTTGGCTTGCAATCCATAGAAATTTACACTTTCATATGCATTTTAGAATAAGTTTATTGAGATCCTCAAAAATTCGAGCTGGAATTTTTATATGATTTGCGATGAACATGTAGATTAAATTGGGAAGACTTGGCACTTTTACTGTGTTAATTTATCTAACTTCTGGGACTATTAGATATCTCTATTTATCTAAATTATTTTAAAAATAGCCTTTAGGCCGGGCGCAGTGGCTCACGCCTGTAATCCTAGCACTCTGGGAGGCTGAGGCAGGCGGATTGTTTGAGCTCAGGAGTTTGAGACCAGCCTGAGCAAGAGCGAGACCCCGTCTCTACCAAAAATAGAAAGTAATTAATTGGACAGCTAAAAATATATAGAAAAAATTAGCCGGGCATGGTGGCGCATGCCTGTAGTCCCAGCTACTTGGGAGGCTGAGGCAGTAGGATTGCTTGAGCCCAGGAGTCTGAGGTTGCTGTGAGCTAGGCTGACGCCATGGCACTCACTCTAGCCTGGGCAACAAAGTGAGACTGTGTCTCAAAAAAAAAATAGCCTTTAATATAATTTAAATTTTTTCTTTGCAAAGATCTTGTACATTCTTCATTGCATTGGTTCTTAGATACAGTTTGAGTTGCTATTTTAGAGGTCTTGTTTTCCATTTTCTTTCTAGTTTATTGTTTCTGTTAATTTTAGTAAGATGATCACTCTGTTAAATACTCTTTTTAGTTGCAATGTTTATGGTTATACTTCTACGTGAGTGATCGTTTTATTTAAAAATAATAATGGTTTTCTCTCTTCCCTTCTGATATCCTTACACATTTTACAGTCTTTTCATGTCTTATACCTTTTGCTAGGATCTCAAACACTATGCTAAACAGTATAGTTTAAACACTATGCTAAACAGTAGTGGTGATAACAGCTTGCTTGTATTGTTCCTGATCCAAATCCTGTCCCACTGTGCAGGTTGGAGGTGGAGAGAGATTGGGACTAGCGCAGCTCTCAGGCAAGTTTCCTTAGAGTTGGCGCCTATCTACTGAGTGTCCTATGAGGCTTGAGGGTTGCAGACAGCAGAGCAGTAAACAACATTAAGAAACTGATGGAAAATAAGCTAAGATCTATCCAACCAAGTGGAGAGCCTAAACAGAAGAGCCTGAAGCAGGATAAACCCAGGACTCTAGGAATCAGGGAGAGCCTGTAATACTATCTGGGCCAGGTGCCTTTTTAGAATGTTAGTTCTTCAATCACCTTTCTACTCTCTTCTCGATGACTGTCTGTTTAGAGTTTTTATTTTTGCTTCGGTTATGTTTTGTCAAAAAAAACTGTTTCTTCCAGGTCTTAAAGTTTATTGCAAGAACTCACAGTGTTTTCTTAGTGTTATTCTTATTGTTGTGCTATTTCTGCTATACTTCCCCTAGAAAATACAGCATCTCAAAATTCCTGCTTCTTGAAACATGCTAAAACACCCCAACAGTGGTGACAGTCATTTGCTTTGAATTGAGGCCACCAGCTTTTACTAAAACTGTGCCTGGCCATGCAGCCATCTACCCTTAGCCTAGTGGCAGAAAATTGCTACTGTATTTATGGAAAATCATGAGCACTCGCTCCTACACGTCTTCCCCAAGACATTGCTCTGGAAGAGCTCATTGCACATCACTGCGTGTCTGACCTTATTTCCTGCTACAACAAGACCAGGAGATGCTTTTATGGGGTCCAGCACCCCCATCTGAATAGTGTGTGCAAGCCTGGTCTGAATTTATGTTGCCTCCCTTTTCCCCATTTCTCCATTGTCTTCCTTTCTTATATAAAAAAAAACTTCTTATTTTTTTCATTTCATTCCATCATTCCTGGAAAAAGATGAGTAAATAGGCATCGAATAAAATTTTTTAAATAAAATGTGAATAATGTTGTTATTTCTGAGACCCGTTGAGAGATTTTAGAAGACAAGGTGTGTTGCTGTATCTATGAGAGTGTTTCATTAAAAAAATAATAATAACATTTTATCTTCTCAGCCAGGCTCACTCTGGCCACCCTACTCACTGCCCACTGGCCCATCCCAGCCCTCCCAAGCGCTGTATCTTGCCAAACTTTTTCTTCCCTTCATTTTTTTTCCCATAGCACTTAGGACTTTTTCATGTACTATACTAAGGTTCACACCCTTGGCACTGTGGACATTTGGGGCCAGATCATTCTAAGCTATGGGGTCCGTCCTGTGCATTGTAGGGTTTTGAGCAGCAACCCTGGCCTCTACCCACTAGATGCCAGAAGCACAGATACGCGCGCATACACACATAAAGCCCCCAAGCTGTGACAACCAAAAATGTCTCCAGGCATTGCCACATGTCCCCTGGTGGACATAATTGCCCCCGGCTGAGAACCCCTACGTTATACAACTTACTTTTTAAATTACACTCATTATGTTGAGAATGGGATCTGTCTCCTCCCACCCCCCTCTAGAATGTTAGCTCCAAGAAGAAAGGAATTTGCTTATTTTTTTTCCGATTTAGCCCCAGTTCCCACCTCGATGCCTGGCACAGCGTGGGTGTGTAGTATCTGTTGAAAGAATGCAAGGGCAGTTCGTATTTTTGATGTGCCTGAGATGGTGGTGGGTAGACACGCACAACCTCACTTCTTCATTACAGCATCCGTTTGAGGGAGGCTCTGTCATTGTCCCCCTTTTCACAGAGCAGAAAACTGAGGCTTCTAGAAGCTACATATTACACACACCCCCACCCACCCACCCACCCGGTGGTAGAGCCGGTGGCTCAGCCAAATGTCACTGCAAGAAAGTCTGCCTGCCCCCTGCTGGTGCAGAGGGACTGAATTAAGGGTAGGGTTGGCCCCAGCCTCTGGCAGGCACCTGCAGGGGAGCGGAGGGAAGAGCTGAACTGGCCTGGGGGCTACACCTTTCAGGGGGCTTTCTCAGGAACCAGCAAGGGTCACAATGTGGCTGGGTTCAGTGTGTCCCTCTGGGGAGGAAGCCCGGCCCCAGGCCCATAAAATATGGGGACCAAGCTCCAGAGAGCACCCCCAGCACCAGCCTGGTGTTGTAGCTGCAGCTACCAGGCCAGAGAAGCTGGAACTGCCAACCCCTCGCATTCAGCCCAGCCCAGAAAGGGCCCGGTCTTGTCACTGTTACTGGGAACTGAGCCACGGAAATAGGAAGGAAGGAAGACAGAGTGGGTAGGGCCAGGGTGGGGGTTGGGGCTACATTTATATCTGTGCCCCCAGCTGGATGCCTGCAGCGCCATGGACACCAGCAGGTACAGCAAGTGGGGCGGCGGGCCCGAGGAGGTCCCTGGAGGTATGAGCAGAGGGACTACCTCATGGGGGTCCCTTGGGTCCCTCCCTGCACCAGTGTCTGAGGTTTGATGGGGGAGGGGAGGGGAAGAGCCAACAGGGATCCAGGTAGTGGGTGCTGCAGAGACACCACAAGCTATGGAGCCAGGATCCAAATTCCAACTCTGCCACTTAGGGGCTGTGTGACCATAGACAAGTTACTTAACCTCTCTGAACATCAGTTTCCTGCCTTCAGGGCTCAGCTGGGGGTACCCAGCAATCCATCCATGTTCACCCAGGGTACTGGGGACGCTGGGAGCAGTGGAGGCGGAGATCCTGCTTCCTGGCCCTGGTTCTCCTGGCCGTGGCAGTCCTGTGGGCTCTCATTCTGAGCATACTATTGTCCAAGGGTGAGTGACCCCTCAATGGGGAGAGGTTGTGTCGCGTATGAGCACGTATGTGTGTGCGCGTCCCCGCATGTTTGTCTCCCATGGGCTTGTGTGCACATCGTGTGCGCTGTAAGCCTGCCTGCCCCTCTGCGATCCCGGGACGGGGAATCCCGCACCCCCTGGGCCAGGGGAAGGTTCCTGAGCCCGCTGGCCAGGCCTGCAAGACCCTCTCTCCGCAGCCTCCACCGAGCGCGCGGCTCTGCTGGACAGTCAGGACCTGTTGAGGACAAACAGTGCGTGCAGAACGGTGGCGCCTGGGCCCGCGGGGTGTGCAGGGCGGGAACGCCTGGGACCCGGGAGACAGGGTAGTGGGTGTGTGGGGACCCCACGGTCCCCGGAGTGGGGAAGGGTCCCCTGACTCCCCCCAGGTGACTTGGCATTGGGGGGCGGGGGGCGGGGCGTCGTTCCAGCCTCGAAGCAGACAGCGGTGTTGGGGACCTTGAAGGAGGAGGTCTCGGCCTGCCACAGCTGCTGTGAGAGAGGGCTGCGCCCGGGCCTGTGGGTGGAGGGGGTGGGGATGGGGACTGGAGGCGCACCTGGGTGCGGGGCTTGGGCAGGTAGGGGTCGAGTGGGCTAGTACCAGACATCCCGCTCCCTCCTCACCGTCTCCGCCCTTCTACCCCCACCCTCCGCCTGTCCCAGGCTCCCGGACGCAGGCGCAGCTGCAGGCCACCCGCGCCGAGCTTGGGGAGACTCAGGGGAAGCTGACCCAGCAGGAGAGCGCCCTGAAAGGACTGCAGGAGCGTGGTGAGGGCCCGACGGGACCACGACCCCCGAGCCTTGGCCGTGGCCGTGACCCCGACCCTATCCTGTGATCCTGACCTCTGCCTTCAATCCTATCCCCAGCCTGACCCCGATCACTGGACTCTGACCTTGAATACAACTCCTAACCCCAGCCATGACTGGACCCTACCCACTTACAACAGACCTGGACCCTGACATCAGTCTTGTCCCTGGCACCGACGGTGAACTGACCATGGACAGGGATCCTGATGTTTACCTAGTCATGACCCTGCTCCTGACGCTGATCCCAGCCATAATCTCCGCAGTGACCCAGGGCTTGGCGGAAGCAGGCAGGGACCGAGAGGACGTCCGTAATGAGCTGTTCCGGGCACTGGAGGCGGTCAGGCACCAGAACAGTGAGCAAGAGAGGGCTGGGCGTGGTAGGGCAGGGCTAGGTGCTCCCTGCTCCCGGATCCACCTGGCCCGGCTCTTTGACCTTGGCTGGGTCCTGTGGCTCCACCCCTGGGCCCCCCGAGGTCCAACCCCACCCTCACACCCAGTAGGTATGCTCCATCCGGGAGCAGTCCACCTCTCTGACCCTCGCCACCCCGCAGGCTCCTGCGACCCGTGCCCCAAGTCGTGGCTGCCATTTGAGGGTTCCTGCTACTATTTCTCCGTGCCCCAGGCCACGTGGGTAGAGGCTCAGCGCCACTGCGCAGGCGCCGGCGGGTACTTGGTGATCGTCGGGGGCCTGGATGAGCAGGTGCGCAGGGGGAGGTGGTGTTCGCCTGAGGGGGCGTGGCATGCCCTGCCGGCTAACGTCTCCCCTCCTTTCTAGGGCTTCCTGACTCGGAATACGCGTGGCCGCGGTTACTGGCTGGGCCTGAGGGCAGTGCGACACCAGAACAAGGTTCAGGGCTATCAGTGGGTGGACGGAGGCCCACTCAGCTTCAGGTGAGACTTGGGGAGGGACACAGGCTAGGTTCTAGGGGAAGTGCTTGGGCCAGATGTTAGGGGCTCTTTGGCTGGGCTTCCACCCTCAGCCTAGATTCCCAGCAAGGCCCCCTCTCAACCACTGCAGCCACTGGAACCGAGGGGAGCCCAATGACTCTTGGGGGCGCGAGAACTGCGTCATGATGCTGCACACGGGGATGTGGAATGATGCACCGTGTGACAGCGAGAGGGACGGCTGGATCTGTGAGAAGAGGCGCAGCTGCTGACCGCGCCCAGTGCCCCGGAGCCACGCCCACTGCCACCCTTGGAATCCCTGGTGCCGAAGCCGCCTCCCGGTGCCTGCTGCCAGAGATAATTTCTTCCCTGTCTGCCACTACTGAGAACCACTCAGCCCGACACAGCCCTGTCCAGTGCCTGTGCTCTGGGACCTTCCCTCCAATCTCGCTGCAACCCGACTCACAGACCTAACCTCCATCGGCTCTAAAATCCCTGCTCCTGGGTCCGGGTGATCTGACACCGCTTCTGTCCCTGGCCAATGTCAGTTGACTAAGGGGGTGGAGCTGTTTGGTTTTCCTGCATTTTCCCCCAGACTGGGGGAAAATGTCTTTGCAGCCAGAGAGAGCATCAATAAATGTTTCAGAAATGAATCTAGGTTCGCGGCTCTGGTGAGCTCTTCAAGCTTTATCCCAGAGACCTTGGTGTGATCCCTGTGAGTGACCCCTGACTTCTCAAGTGACCTCATGGCACTATGACACCCCAAAACCCAGTGAGTAACCTGTACTGGGCCAGGAGGGCTTGAAGGTAGGGGCACTTTGCCACTTAGTACTGTTACTTCCTAAGCCCCTGAACCAGCCCCAGCTTGAAGCTTGGTTTCAGAGGGTTCTGGGAACACAGGAATGAGTCAGATTCCACCCTTACCCCCTGAGACCTCCCCATTCTGGTCTAGCTGGGCACAGGAACAATGTGACCAGTGATTTAATGGAGGAATGCATGGAGATGATGCATCTGGAGGAGCCACTTTTGTCCTTGTTGGGGGAGGGAGGACAGTGCTGAGATATTAAAATGGTAGCCCCATCGCTTGAGAAGACTGTCATCCCACTGTGGAGATTACAAGCAGCCTGAGACAAGGCCCTGGGGTAGGTAGGGGAGGGGTTGCCCTGATCAGATGAGCAGATCACTTCTGCCCCAGGCACCTAGAGCCTGTGACCATTGGGTGGGGTGATCAAGAGATATGTCCCAGAGAAGGTGGACTTCCGAGGAACAATGGGATTTCGGTGGATGAAGCTGGGAAGGAAGCGCTTTGCAAGCAGAAGGGCTGTGAGAGCCGGGTGCAGTGGCACGTGCCTGTAGCCCCAGCTACTTGGGAAGCTGAGGCAGGAGGATCGCTTGAATCCAGGAGTTCAAGGCTGCAGTGCACTATGATGATGCCACTGCACTGCAGCTTGTGTGACAGAGAAAGACCTTGTCTCTAAAACAAAAGAGAGAGAGGAGAGAGAGAGAGAGAGAGAAAGGCTGGGAGGTTGGAAGGTGTGGAGATGGCTGAACTCACACAGGGGTGTGGGTTGCACAGAGCCTGGCTTTATTAATATCAACCAGGGACTTTTGATCTGAATTCACCCTGCACTCCCGAGGTTTCCTTCTTCTATCCTGAGGAGCTAGGGGTTCTCCAGGAATTTCCCAAGGAGACAGGCCCAATTGAGGGGAGGGACAAGCTAGCAGATTTTAGTTCTGTGCAGATCTGAGTCTAGAACTACAGGCTGCTGGGAGCCCCCAGGCTACCGGGCTATTACAGCATCGACTGAGCAGGAGGAGGAGGGGACTCCTTCCACGTTCCCTGGCCAGGCAGAAACCTGGTAGGGCTGCAACCAGGCAACACCCCAGTCCCTTTCTGAGCCCTTTTTACCTGCAGCTCCGAGCAGGCACTGACCAGGAGCTGCCTGACTTGCCTAGAGAACTGAACACCACACCGATGGATTTCCAGACAGTTCATTTGGAGGATATAGGATGAGTTTCCTACTGCTGCTGCTATAAGAAATTTCACTGAGTCAAAATCAAAGCGTCACCAGGGCCAGGTTCCTTCTGAAAAGCTCTAAAGGAGAAACTGTTTCCTTGTTTTTCACAGTTTCTAGAACACTGTTCCTTGCATTCCTTGATTCCTGGCCCCTTTCTCCATCTTCAAAGCCACTAGGGTAACATCTGGCTTCAGTGGTGACAGCACCTTCTTCTGTATTGAATCTCTCTCCGCCTCCTGTTTAGAAGAACACCTGGGATTGCATTTAGGGCCCAGCCAGAAAATCCAGGATGATCTCCCGGCATTCGGCAGTGCGATTCCGTCACTGACCACCCAGAGTTAGTCCAGACTCCACCTGTGGCTTATGGACACCTCCATAGGTTACAGACACAGTCGCCATCAAGACTACCTTCATTTCAGATACCAGCCGCAAGTTCCAGGGTCTCTAAGACACCCACACTTCTGACCAACTGATTTCAAATTCAGGGGTTCTTATGACCTGGTGAAGGTTCCATAATTCACTGGAATGAGTCCCAAGTACTTAGGAAACATGCTACACTTAATGATTACAGTTTTATTAAAATGATACAGATCAGAACAGGCCAAATGAGGAGACACATAGGGAGAGGTCTGGGAAGGTCCCGAACACAGAGCTCCCATGTCCTTGCCCCACAAACTCAGGGCACACTTACCTGAAGCCACCTGGTATTCTGGCTGCCATCCCACCTGGGAGTCCCTGTCACCTGGTTTACTCTTTGTGCCAGGAGGCATAATGGCTCATAAAGATATCCATGTCCTAATCCCCGGATCCTGTGAATATCACCTTATTACACCTGTAATCCTAGCACTCTGGGAGGCCGAGGCGGGAGGATCCCTTGAGGTCAGGAGTTCAAGACCAGCCTGAGCAAGAGCGAGACCCCCATCTCTACTAAAAATAGAAAAATTATCCAGACATGGTGGCCTGTGCCTGTAGTCCCAGCTACTTGGGAGGCTGAGGCAGGAGGATCACTTGAGCCTGGGAGTTAGAGGTTGCAGTGAGCTATGATGACGCCGCTGTACTCCAGCCTGGGAGATAGAGCAAGACTCTGTCTCTTAAAAAAAAATAGTTAAGATCGTAAGTTTTATGCGATGTGTATTTTTCCACAATTGAAAATTAGAAAAAAAAATTAGCCAGACGTGATGGTGCACGCCTGTAGTCCCAGCTACTTGGGAGGCTGAGGCAGGAGGATCGCTTGAGCCCAGGAGTTTGAGACCAGCCTGAGTAACATAGTGTGGCCATGTCACTACAAAAAATAGAAAAATTATCCAGACACGGTGGCCTGCGCCTGTAGTCCCAGCTACTTGGGAGGCTGAGGCAGGAGGATCGCTTGAGCCCGGGAGTTAGAGGTTGCAGTGAGCTATGATGACGCCACTGTACTCCAGCCTGGGAGATAGAGCAAGACTCTGTCTCTTTAAAAAAAATAGTTAAGATCGTAAGTTTTATGCGATGTGTATTTTTCCACAATTGAAAATTAGAAAAAAAAATTAGGTACTATTTCAAGCTTACAATTTAATGAGTTTTGACAAACATATACAGCTGCGTAACCACCAAGGCCTTCGAGACATCGGACATTTCCGTCCTGTAAAATTCCCTCCTGCCTCTTCCTTGTTAATTCCAAACCCCAACCCTGCCCCAAGCCACCACGGATCTGCTGTGTATCACGATGGATTCGACTTGTCTTTTGTAAAATTTCACATGCATTGGCTCATACAGTACATAGCCTTTCGTCTCTGGACTCTTTCTCTCGGCACGATGTTTTGAGATCCACCCATGTTGTTGTGTGTATCGATAGTTGCTCCGTTTTATTTTACTGGGTCATATTTCATTGTGTGGCTGGACTCCCTGACTCCTTCATCCATTTACCTGTTGGTGAATATCAGGGTTGTTTCCAATGTGAGTTACTAAGAGTTAAGCTGCTGGGAATATTCTTGCACAAATCTTTGTATGGATCTAATAAGTTTCCCCTTCTCTTGGTTAAATAGCTGTGAGTGGGTCCTATAGTAGGTGAATATTTAACTTGGTGAGAAATTAGCAAACAGTTTCCCAAAGAGGTTGCACCCATTGTCTGCTCCCATTCCAATATATCAGAGTTCTGGTTGCCTGGAGAGGGTCTTTTTTGACCCAGGAAAGACTTCAGCAGTTCTAAGCCCAGGTGGAGGGACTTATTTTGGAACAGACAGAGCAGGAGGGGCGGAAGTGAAGGCGGAAGTTGAAACAGATAATGGACAAAGGCAGGAAGTGGGAGGAGCTAACACGTGGGTGCTTGATAACACGTCTTCTCACGGGATGAGATTGGGGGCTGGGAAGCAGAGTCCGGAGGGTCTCTGATATTTGGAATTACAGCCCTAGGCCCCCTGATCGGAGACAAGGAGAAGGGTCAGTGACTGTACCACAAGGAGGGGTTTTCTGGAGGCAACAACAGATGGATGGAGGAAGTTGGCCAGAGAGGAAGTGAGGTTCGGGGATCTGGGGGGCGGTGAGCAGGTCTCCAGTGAACAGGGGCCCTTTTGCTCACGCAATCATTTTCTCATCCACAAACATTTCTGGAGCACCTATTCCACACCTGGTCCTGGAGTTCCAACAGAATACAAGGTCAGGATCACTTGACACAAAGGAATCTGAAAAACCTTAGGCTGAACAGAAGCAAACTTCCTCAAAACAGTATAGACCGTATGAGCCTGTTTTTATGAAGTTCTACAACAGGCAGCTCAACCCTAGGGAGGGAAAAAGGTGGGAACAATGGTTGCCTGGGAGCAGAGCTAGAGATTGCCTGGGAAGGGCTGTGAAAGGAATGTCTGGGGCGATGTTCTGTATGTTGAGAGGAGTTCAGATGACACGGTTGAATGCATTTGTCAAAGCTCAAAGAAAATGCATTTGGAATTTGTGCATTTCATTCTACATATTTTTTTTTTATTGACAAATAAAAATTTGGGCCAGGCATGGTGGCTCACGCCTGTAATTCCAACACTTTCGAAGGCTGAGGTGGGAGGATCATTTGAGCCCAGGAGTTTAAGACTAGCCTGGGCAACATAGCAAGACCCCATCTCTTCAGAAAAATTTTAAAATTAGCTGGGTGTGGTGGTGCACACCTGTAGCCCCAGCTACTCGGGAGGGTGGAGGCAGGAGGATCACTTGAGCCCAGAGTTGGAGGTTGCAGTGAGCTATGATCATGCCACTGCAATCTAACCTGGGTGACAGAGCAAGACCCTGTCTCAAAAAAAAATTATATATATTTGTGGTGTACAACATGATGTTTCGATATATGCATACAGTGCAGAATGCTAAATCAAGCTCCTTAACCTGTGTATCACCTCCCATACTTATTTAGTTATTTTTTTTGTGATGAGAACACTGAAAATCTACCCTCTTAGCAACTTTCAAGTATACAATACATTGTTATTAACTGTAAGCA